CAGTGTTCCTGTTGTGCATCCCCAGCAAGAGTGAAGATGCTGGACAGTGATGAGTTTGATGGTTTCGTATTAAAATGCGGTCTATCAAACTAGAAAGATAGAAAGTAGTCTGGCCACAACAGCATAAAAGTCACATTTTAGCGTTATCCACGTCTTCCAACATTTAATTTATTGTGTCACTTAGAAAATGTCAATTAGTAATACAAAAGATAATAAAAACCATTAATAAATATGTATTATTAATATACTTAAAGCTGACCAGCAATACATACAGTTTTAAAACTAGCCCAACCTTTAAGTGAAGATGATCCCCTATCCTTGAACAATGGATAGATATAGTAGAGTAAATCTAAATAATAGAATAACTGACACATTTTTGGAGATTACAAGAAGCACAGATGGAGGAAAAGCGGGAAAATTGACCCAGGAAAACAACATGGTTTATTTGTTTTGTGATATGTTGAAATGATCTGAGAAAGGAACTCAAACTTAAGCCCTACCTTGCAGCTACAACATGAACATGATAAATATAATCCAACAAAGTAGTATATTATATAATTCTGAAGTGGGCCATTCTACATAATGAGAACTAGTTTTGCTACTACATTTGTGTTTTGATGCCAATAGCTATACTTTTACTAAAGTTAAATTCTTACTGCATTTATTTTACTTTTATGTCTACACTTGTTTACTTAAACCTCAAAATTATGCAAAACCTACCTCCATATTTAGCCCAGCCTAGGATGAGGCCTGTTGTGCTGACAGGGCTTTATCTGTTACAGCCCAGGCTTCTCTACAAATAACAGGCCTCCATCTGTTGAGCCCATCAGGTCTGCTGCTGCTGTTTTTCTGCTGCTCACTGCAGACAACCTCCAAACAACCCAGAACGAGGGTCCAGGGACTATATGACCCCCCGCCGCCCACACCTCCTGCTGGGAAACCAGAAGGCCTCTGTTTTGATAGTGGCTATTACCCTCATAAGGCTGACCCTCTGAGCTAACATCCCTGCCATTAGATACACAAGTAAGCACGACGGCAAGTACGCTGTGTGACACTGGGTAAACATGTTGGCAAACTGCAGGAATGTAAAGGGAGACAGGTCAGAAGAGTGTTTGTCTGCCACAGACAGAGGAGAGACGTCCATCCAGAGTTATGAAACATGACATATGAGTGTTAAAAAACATGGTTTGTCCATATTTTACTCCTTGACGGGATAGATTTATTGTGCATATACAGAGGGCCATCTCTGAGCTCTCTGGCCTGTTGGGGTTGTTGGACTGTGACGAATGGAGCACTAAATCTAAATCTACACCGTTCACCCTCACCTTTTGGCGATGACTCCAGATGGAAAATTGGGAGAATTAAGCAGAGCCATGAAGAGGCGGAGAGAGGCTGGCTTCTCCATCACTAAAAACCAACATCCCCATCTGGAGAAGAGCATTGGCTCGTCTTTCAATGGGATGAAGGAGGACGTGCTGACTGAATAGTCTAAATTATAATCTTAAATATCAATCAATCAATCAATCAATCAATCAATCAATCAATGTTTATTTATATAGCCCAATATCACAAATGTTACATTTGTCTCAGTGGACTTCACAGTTTGTACAGAATATCAGTATGACAATACGACACCCTCTGTCCTTAGACCCTCACATCGTACAAGGAAAGACTTCCAGAGAAAAACCCCACAGTTTAAAGGGAAAATGGGAGAAACCTCAGGGAAAGCAACAGAGGAGGGATCCCTCTCCCAGGACGGACAGACGTGCAATAGATGCCATGTGTAAATTGAAAAGATAATACATTTGCAACATAGATAAGTTGCTCGCATGGTAACAGGCAATTAAATCAAAAATCATTCCGGCCATAAAGAAGAGTAGGACCAAAGGTGCTGTAAAATGAATTAATATCCTACAATAACAAGGAAACTAAACTAGACCATGCGAGCAGCACTGTGAGTCTGGGCATATGGTAAATGATAAAATTAAAATAATGATAGCATGGGGAACTTATCTATGGTCCCAGGGTGCTATATCTCCAGTTTAATATCCTCGTAATATAATACATTTACAAGCCATTCAAAGGGTTTTATGTTCTCAGTAATGTACGTTTCTCCAGGTCAAATGTGTAAAATTCCCACCTACAGACTACTGATGTTATATTCCTTGAAACCTACGCACCTTAATTTGCAGGCTAGACATTTTTTTCTTTTTACCTTTGACATTGATATCTCATTGGGGCTGAACAGATTTTCAGATTTCAAACTGCATTTCCCTCAAGCACATAATACCCTGGGAAAATTGCAAAAGCATGCTAAAATGCCCCCTGCTTCAGATGTTGACATTGTTTATCATGCTAGCATAACTACAAAGTATATAACCTAGCTTTCACATTTCACAATAGGAAGACAACACAGTGATACATCTAGGATACATATACAGAATCAAAAAAACACACAGCACATTATAAGTAGCTTATAACTAAACAAAAATGTGCCTTGCCAAAAAGAAGGCAAATAATCCAGTAACCATACATTGGTTGCTTTAACATACATATGAATTACATGATGAACATGTTTGTAGCCATTAGTATGCTTCAATTACTTTTTGGTGAAAACAAGGGACTATACGATACAATACGATAATACTTTATTGTCCGATGGAGTCTGTTCTTGAATCACAGCAGCTCCATTTGCAACATCAACAAGGACAATATTTAGAAACAAGGAAACATATATTTAACATAACATCACGATCACTAAAGAGAAACATGCTCAAGACCCTCTAACGTACATTTGATCTGGGACTTATCTCTGTATTTAATTTGAGGATTGACAAAAGAGTGCTTCAGTATAACCTTATTAAATCACGGGACCCTGTATCTACGATTTGATCGATATGCCTCAATATGTTATTTCGGAAGGTTGATTCATAGAGTATCTCAAAAGGTTGAACTTGTTGTGGGAAGGCTTTCTGCAGCCAGAGAGAAAGACCTCCAGGAAAATAATCAATGATGGGTTGTCAAATGTCCCAAAGGAAAATCATTAAATGTGACTGAGAGAGGTCTCTCATGATTCACTAGGACAGAATGCATCGCCTCGCTAGAAGCATTAGTTTCTCCATGAAGTCAGCTACTAACAGGCTTCCCTATCAGCACAAATGATCACAGTTGAACACTGTCAGCTTGAGTTTATTGTAGTTGCTCAGACTTTTTGAGGGATCAGACCTCTGCCCTCTAACAAACACTCTGTGGGAGTAGTATGTGCTCATGTGGGCTGGGTGGCCTGCTGGGCTGTCCTGCTCCCTGGGGTGTCTGCTGTAGAGAGGGCCTGTTATTCAGAGAACATCCTGGGGCCCTCCCAGCCTCCCATAGTGTCTGCGCCTATGGAGAGAAGGAGCTGGGAAAGCCCCAGTACAAAAGAGGACAATTTGTGGTTAGAAGACTGCTGTTTAGGTAAATATTGTAGCATGGGCGGGGAGCTGGGATCTTTGTTAGTACAACAAAAACACAAGTGAAAACTGTAATTGAGGGAAAATGCTTGTTTTTCGCAAAGCAAGGTTTTATGTGGTGTCTGCTTACCCTCATTATCTTTAAATGATGGGACTGCTTACACGGCTGAGCTCACATTAACCACTTTCTCCTCCTCACATCACCATCATCAACATATGGGCCCTATTCACTGGAGCATTAGGGGGGAAACATGTACAGCATCATTATGGTAATGGTGACGCCTCTGCCATGGCACTCAACAGACAGAAGGACATGGATTAAAGGAGGATGGATCATAGGGATGGATGAGAGGAGGGGGGGGGGGGGGGGGGGGGGGGCTTACTGATTCCCATACAGTAAAGATGTCATCTTCTCAGGCTGAAATAAGGACACATGCAAATGACTCAGCTGATGCAGACAGGCTGTATGTATTTGCATGTGTTTATTTGGATATCAGACACTACTGAGCATCATCATGGCTGCAATGGTACAAAGGAAGGAGGTCATATATTTGTGTAGATACAGCGTCATTGATGCTGAGGTCATTGATCCTGTCTTGTTCTGGTAGTAATCCCTCGTATTGTTCACTTAAATGTCTGAAAATGCCTAGTGTCAATTTAAATGTATTTAAAGGTGCAGTAACTAAGTGATTGGATGTAACAAAGTATATGTATTTAAGTACTGCACTAACTTGAGTACGTCTATTTCCTGCTAATCTCTATTCCACTACATCTCAGAGGATATATTGTACTTTGTATTCGTCTTTACTTATTTGTAAAGCTTCAGAGACTATCTACTTTGCAGATTCAAATCATCAATACATAGAACATATAACCAAATAATGAATTATGTAGGCCTTTTATAATATATATAACTACTCAGCAGTTAAAATGAGCTCAACCTTTAGCAACCTCAATTTCGAAGTAACTAACAAAAATCTTGCATAAATGATTGTGCTTATTATTCAGACCTCTGATGTATCACGTAGCCCAACAGTATGTATTGGATTCGAGTTATGGTTGTTAACATAAAGTAGTTATATGTCGCCATCTGCTGGATATATTTCATTCAGGGGAAAACGTGTGGTGACATAATGGAACACTAGGGGCGCTGTGAGTCCGGAGTACGCTACTAACATATTCTCATTGTTGTATAATAAGAACGGTTGTAACACGTTATGAAATTGTAAAGATTTTGATATCCTTAATTCTGATTTAGTGTCCACAATTATATTTCACCCTAAATTATATTCCCAGTTTATCAATTCAACTTCTAATTATCCAAGCCTTCAAACCTTCCAAATTCCCTCCCATTTTTAAACAATTATTTTTGGATTTTTCAATATTACCCTTCATCACACACCAACTTATAAGTGTACCACAACACTAGTTTATTAATTCAAACCAGAAAACTAATGAGGGAAAAAAAAAAACGTAGATGTGAACATATGATTGTGGCATGTCACCTCAGCTTAGTAGATTCAAACCCAAAGAAAATGAGACAAATCGAAGAGGCAATTTTTTTTATTTGACAGTGAAACAGGTAAGCCAACAGCAGCCGTCCTTTTCACAGTCACACCTAAAACTTCTGGAACTGCTTCTTGGCGCCTGCAGCCTTCGTCACTTTGAGGACGTTGAACCTCACGGTCTTGCTGAGTGGTCGGCACTCTCCAACGGTGACGTTGTCTCCAACTGAGACGTCTCTGTAGAAAAGCACCAACATAAAGATATTAACAGGTGGTTGGGTTACCATTTTCCATGAACAAGTCAATAAAGATGTATACATTTTTAAATAGGATGTTCCAATTCAAATCAGACTGCATCAGTGTTTGCCATAAGGCATTATCGTCACAGCTTCTTGAGCTAGGAAGACCATCGTGAGAAAAATCATCATTTGCAGCAGTTCATGTTCTACTTTTGGCTGTTACAGGGACTGACCATTTAACAGACGTTGAATAGGACAAGTATATTGTGGGTAAAAAACATTTATAACTTGAGCCCAATAAGGAAACAATTACAGCACTATTTTCCAGACATTTGAAAATCTGTTTCTTTTCATAATTGTTTACATTTCTGGGTGCTCCATGTTTTCTATAACTGTAGAAACTGTTAATTATAAGCATAATATGGGCAGTGTTGTACCTGAAGCAAGGTGACAGATGGACAGAGATGTTCTTGTGCCTCTTCTCAAAACGGTTGTACTTGCGGATGTAATGCAGGTAGTCACGTCTGATAACGATGGTCCTCTGCATCTTCATTTTGGTCACAACACCTGTTTGAGCACAAAAGGAAATATGGTTAGGATTGAATGTTATGTATAATGCAATGAAGAATCCAATCAATGCACATTAAATAGGATTGTCACTCTACTACATCAGTGTTGCCATAAGGCATTATCGTCAGCGCCTAGAAGGCTTGGAAGACCATCGTGAGAAAACATCATTTGTAGTAGTGACAGGGAAATTCAATATACGGTTTGTGGCAAGTTACACTGTATAGACTGGTTCTTGCTTGGGTTGCTTCACCTGTACAAGGGCATGTTGATTTGCAGTCAGTGTAATACACACAGTATCAGGCTGGACATTGTAACCTGTGTATCACTGGATTTAAACTACATTCACTAGCATTAAATGTACAATGTGTTCCTGGTTGTACATCACATCTCCAGATTGAATGCATGACACTGTAAAATACATTTTCTAGGACTCTGTATGTTCAGTTTTATATTGTATTGGGCTGTGATGTTTAATTGACAGCAAGTTATATGTTGCCGGACCCAAAGCCATTGCCAATTGACTTGTGCAAGTAGAGTGTAAAATGTTACATTTACCAGAGAGGATGCGGCCACGGATGGACACATTTCCAGTGAAGGGGCATTTCTTGTCAATGTAAGTGCCGTCGATAGCCTGATGGGGAAAAAAGGGAACAGTCAATACCATTCATCACTATACATATTCCTTGGCTCAATTAAATCATTTTATCTTGAGACTGCATCAGCATTGCCATAAGGCATTATCGTCAGAACCCTAAAGGGCTAGGAAGACCATCGTGAGAAAAACATCATTTGCAGCTACCTAAGAAGTTAAGTTTAAAACTAGTTTTACACCTGTTCACAGTCACACCTAAAACTTCTGGAACTGCTTCTTGGCGCCTGCAGCCTTCATCACTTTGAGGACGTTGAACCTCACGGTCTTGCTGAGTGGTCGGCACTCTCCAACGGTGACGTTGTCTCCAACTGAGACGTCTCTGTAGAAAAGCACCAACATAAAGATATTAACAGGTGGTTGGGTTACCTTTTTCCATGAACAAGTCAATAAAGATGTATACATTTTTAAAAATAGGATGTTCCAATTCAAATCAGACTGCATCAGTGTTTGCCATAAGGCATTATCGTCACAGCTTCTTGAGCTAGGAAGACCATCGTGAGAAAAATCATCATTTGCAGCAGTTCATGTTCTACTTTTGGCTGTTACAGGGACTGACCATTTAACAGACGTTGAATAGGACAAGTATATTGTGGGTAAAAAACATTTATAACTTGAGCCCAATAAGGAAACAATTACGGCACTATTTTCCAGACATTTGAAAATGTGTTTTTTTATAATTGTTTACATTTCTGGGTGCTCCATGTTTTCTATAACTGTAGAAACTGTTAATTATAAGCATAATATGGGCAGTGTTGTACCTGAAGCAAGGTGACAGATGGACAGAGATGTTCTTGTGCCTCTTCTCAAAACGGTTGTACTTGCGGATGTAATGCAGGTAGTCACGTCTGATAACGATGGTCCTCTGCATCTTCATTTTGGTCACCACACCTGTTTGAGCACAAAAGGAAATATGGTTAGGATTGAATTTGATGTATAATGCAACCAAGAATCCAATCAATGCACATTTAATAGGATTGTCACTCTACTACATCAGTGTTGCCATAAGGCATTATCGTCAGCGCCTAGAAGGCTTGGAAGACCATCGTGAGAAAACATCATTTGTAGTAGTGACAGGGAAATTCAATATACGGTTTGTGGCAAGTTACCCTGTATAGACTGGTTCTTGCTTGGGTTGCTTCACCTGTACAAGGGCATGTTGATTTGCAGTCAGTGTAATACACACAGTATCAGGCTGGACATTGTAACCTGTGTATCACTGGATTTAAACTACATTCGCTAGCATTAAATGTGCAATGTGTTCTTGGTTGTACATCACATCTCCAGATTGAGTGCATGACACTGTAAAACACATTTTCTAGGACTCTGTATGTTCAGTTGTATATTGTATTGGGCTGTGATGTTTAATTGACAGCAAGTTATATGTTGCCGGACCCAAAGCCATTGCCAATTGACTTGTGCAAGTAGAGTGTAAAATGTTAAATTTACCAGAGAGGATGCGGCCACGGATGGACACATTTCCAGTGAAGGGACATTTCTTGTCAATGTAAGTGCCGTCAATAGCCTGATGGAAAAAAAATGGAACAGTCAATACCATTTATCACTATACATATTCCTTGGCTCAATTAAATCATTTTATCTTGAGACTGCATCAGCATTGCCATAAGGCATTATCGTCAGAACCCTAAAGGGCTAGGAAGACCATCGTGAGAAAAACATCATTTGCAGCTACCTAAGAAGTTAAGTTTAAAACTAGTTTTACACCTGTTCACAGTCACACCTAAAACTTCTGGAACTGCTTCTTGGCGCCTGCAGCCTTCGTCACTTTGAGGACGTTGAACCTCACGGTCTTGCTGAGTGGTCGGCACTCTCCAACGGTGACGTTGTCTCCAACTGAGACGTCTCTGTAGAAAAGCACCAACATAAAGATATTAACAGGTGGTTGGGTTACCTTTTTCCATGAACAAGTCAATAAAGATGTATACATTTTTAAAAATAGGATGTTCCAATTCAAATCAGACTGCATCAGTGTTTGCCATAAGGCATTATCGTCACAGCTTCTTGAGCTAGGAAGACCATCGTGAGAAAAATCATCATTTGCAGCAGTTCATGTTCTACTTTTGGCTGTTACAGGGACTGACCATTTAAAGTGGACCTATCATGCTATATTTGAATAATATATTGTAGGGCCATACCTATATAAAACATGTCTGCAAAGTTGTTTTTTCAAAATACCAAACAGATCATGCATTTTAGCCATGCCTCATTTCGCTCTATTTGCTGTATTACAGCACTGTTTTTGCAAGGGCTGATTCTGTGGCAAATGAGCTGCAGCTGACCACGCCGCCCTGCAAAGGAGGGGGGCGAGGCACGAGCGTCATGTTACCATGCTGTTACCATGCTGTTACCATGCTGTTACCATGCCACGGCAACCTCTCATTCCCCTGATAGGTGGAGCGTTGCCAATGTAGGCGGAGCGTCACCGCCCACTATTCCGGGCTGACGTCGGGTCGGATGGAATCTGTATCCGCTCGTTGTAGCCCCGTTTTTAAAAGATTTGGGTACGGAGGAAAAGAGAGAGGGTTGTATTTTCTGACACTTGGTGAGTTCCCTGGAACACCGGGGACACATATTCATGTATAAAAGTGCATTTTGCATGATAGGTCCACTTTAACAGACGTTGAATAGGACAAGTATATTGTGGGTAAAAAACATTTATAACTTGAGCCCAATAAGGAAACAATTACGGCACTATTTTCCAGACATTTGAAAATGTGTTTTTTTTTATAATTGTTTACATTTCTGGGTGCTCCATGTTTTCTATAACTGTAGAAACTGTTAATTATAAGCATAATATGGGCAGTGTTGTACCTGAGGCAAGGCGACAGATGGACAGAGATGTTCTTTTGCCTCTTCTCAAAACGGTTGTACTTGCGGATGTAATGCAGGTAGTCACGTCTGATAACGATGGTCCTCTGCATCTTCATTTTGGTCACCACACCTGTTTGAGCACAAAAGGAAATATGGTTAGGATTGAATTTTATGTATAATGCAATGAAGAATCCAATCAATGCACATTTAATAGGATTGTCACTCTACTACATCAGTGTTGCCATAAGGCATTATCGTCAGCGCCTAGAAGGCTTGGAAGACCATCGTGAGAAAACATCATTTGTAGTAGTGACAGGGAAATTCAATATACGGTTTGTGGCAAGTTACCCTGTATAGACTGGTTCTTGCTTGGGTTGCTTCACCTGTACAAGGGCATGTTGATTTTCAGTCAGTGTAATACACACAGTATCAGGCTGGACATTGTAACCTGTGTATCACTGGATTTAAACTACATTCACTAGCATTAAATGTGCAATGTGTTCCTGGTTGTACATCACATCTCCAGATTGAGTGCATGACACTGTAAAATGCATTTTCTAGGACTCTGTATGTTCAGTTGTATATTGTATTGGGGTGTGATGTTTAATTGACAGCAAGTTATATGTTGCAGCACCCAAAGCCATTGCCAATGGACTTGTGCAAGTAGAGTATAAAATGTTAAAGTTACCAGAGAGGATGCGGCCATGGATGGACACATTTCCAGTGAAGGGGCATTTCTTGTCAATGTAAGTGCCGTCAATAGCCTGATGGAAAAAAATGGAAGAGTCAATACCATTTATCACTATTCCTTGGCTCAATTACATCATTTTATCTTAAGACTGCATCAGCATTGCCATAAGGCATTATCGTCAGAACCTTAAAAGGCTAGGAAGACCATCGTGAGAAAAACATCATTTGCAGCTACAAGAAGTTAAGTTTAAAACTAGTTTTTATATTTTTCCGGACAATTCAAGTTACCTCTCTTGGTGTTTTGAAGCCCAGCCCCATACTTTAGTGGTAGCGGGGGAGCTTCTCCTTGACTTCCTTGGCACCCTCAGCGACCAGAACACGCTTCTTGTTCTGGAAGATAGTGGGCTGTTTCTGGTAAGCCCTCTCGGTCTGTGGAACAAGGAGAACGACAAGTTAAAACTGGGATAAGCAGGAACAGGGAAGCATTGAGAAAATACATTCAGACGCCACCACCCGGCCTTGCCAAGTAGCCGACACAAGTTCAAGATTTACTTCCTCCTAAGGGATAAAAGTCCCTTAACCTTAAATACATATTATTAACGTAATGAGAGTTAAAACGGTTCTACCTGGCCGTTTGCACTTTAAACAAAGCAATCCGTCGTTCATAAAGAATGTTAAGTTGTAGCAGGCTAAGCTAACCGAGTAGCATATCGGCACACTTTTGCTGATATCTTTCGCGAGAGATTTAAACGTGGCTCCTTTTTTTCACAGCGATGTTAACTGAGCAAGCATGTGCAGAGTGAGTGTCATCACGCTAGCTTCTTCTTCTCTATTTTAATGGCGGATCGCAAACAGCTTTTAGTTGCATACCGCCACCTACTGTACATGAGTGTGTATCATGTCATTCCATCACTCAACTCATGGACGTATATCTAGCTTGTTTGTGATTGGAGATATTGAAGGCGTTAAAGTCCCGTGTTACAACTGTCCCTGGTCTCCCCTATAATAAGAACGTTGTAACACGTTATGAAATTGCATCTGTTTACTTTTGCTCCCAATTTAGCAAATTATGTCACATGGTGAAACTAATGATTTCATTATGCATTCACTTTAGTTTTAGGCTGCAATGGTCTTACTTTATCTTAATTAACATCCCAGTTGTCAGATTTCCTTAAAAACTGAAGTTTATCAGGGTGTAAGCTGAGTGGGAACATTTCAGTTCCTTGCAAATTCAGCATTTCATATTGGTTTTGAAACTTTTATACTGCTTCATTCTGTGAAAAGGTTTTGGAGCGTTATCAAAGACTAAAGATACTGGGACAGTTCCAAGACATAATTTAGTAAATTATTGCTGCCGGATCATGTTTGGTAGCTTCTTACGGAGTTTAATAATCCATGAAAATGGTTTAACAAAGTTTATCAAATATTGCACCACTACAAGTGGGGAAAAGTTGATTCTTAGTTTTTTTTTCTTCATAGATCAATGTAAAGACTTTGATATTCTTAATTCTGATTTAGTGTCCAAAATTATATTCCCAGTTTATCAATTCATCTTCTTATCCAAGCCTTCCCAATTCCCTCCCATTTTTTAACAATTATTTTTGAATTATTCAATATTACCCCTCATCACACACCAACTTATAAGTGTACCACAAAACTAGTTTAAGTCAAACCAGAAAACGAATGAGGGAAAAAAAACAGTAGATGTGAACATATGATTGTAGCATGTACCCTTTAGTTTCAAACCCGAAGAAAATGAGACAAATCGAAAAGGCAATTTAAACAAGATTTTTTTTTTTTATTTGACAGTGAAACAGGTAAGCCAACAGCAGCCGTCCTTTTCACAGTCACACCTAAAACTTCTGGAACTGCTTCTTGGCGCCTGCAGCCTTCATCACTTTGAGGACGTTGAACCTCACGGTCTTGCTGAGTGGTCGGCACTCTCCAACGGTGACGTTGTCTCCAACTGAGACGTCTCTGTAGAAAAGCACCAACATAAAGATATTAACAGGTGGTTGGGTTACCTTTTTCCATGAACAAGTCAATAAAGATGTATACATTTTTAAATAGGATGTTCCAATTCAAACTGCATCAGTGTTTGCCATAAGGCATTATCGTCACAGCTTCTTGAGCTAGGAAGACCATCGTGAGAAAAATCATCATTTGCAGCAGTTCATGTTCTACTTTTGGCTGTTACAGGGACTGACCATTTAACAGACGTTGAATAGGACAAGTATATTGTGGGTAAAAAACATTTATAACTTGAGCCCAATAAGGAAACAATTACGGCACTATTTTCCAGACATTTGAAAATGTGTTACTTTTCATAATTGTTTACATTTCTGGGTGCTCCATGTTTTCTATAAATGTAGAAACTGTTAATTATAAGCATAATATGGGCAGTGTTGTACCTGAAGCAAGGTGACAGATGGACAGAGATGTTCTTGTGCCTCTTCTCAAAACGGTTGTACTTGCGGATGTAATGCAGGTAGTCACGTCTGATAACGATGGTCCTCTGCATCTTCATTTTGGTCACAACACCTGTTTGAGCACAAAAGGAAATATGGTTAGGATTGAATTTTATGTATAATGCAATGAAGAATCCAATCAATGCCCATTTAATAGGATTGTCACTCTACTACATCAGTGTTGCCATAAGGCATTATCGTCAGCGCCTAGAAGGCTTGGAAGACCATCGTGAGAAAACATCATTTGTAGTAGTGACAGGGAAATTCAATATACGGTTTGTGGCAAGTTACCCTGTATAGACTGGTTCTTGCTTGGGTTGCTTCACCTGTACAAGGGCATGTTGATTTGCAGTCAGTGCAATACACATAGTATCAGGCTGGACATTGTAACCTGTGTATCACTGGATTTAAACTACATTCACTAGCATTAAATGTGCAATGTGTTCCTGGTTGTACATCACATCTCCAGATTGAGTGCATGACACTGTAAAACACATTTTCTAGGACTCTGTAGGTTCAGTTTTATATTGTATTGGGGTGTGATGTTTAATTGACAGCAAGTTATATGTTGCAGCACCCAAAGCCATTGCCAATTGACTTGTGCAAGTAGAGTGTAAAATGTTAAATTTACCAGAGAGGATGCGGCCACGGATGGACACATTTCCAGTGAAGGGGCATTTCTTGTCAATGTAAGTGCCGTCAATAGCCTGATGGAAAAAAATGGAACAGTGAATACCATTTATCACTATACATATTCCTTGGCTCAATTAAATCATTTTATCTTGAGACAGCATCAGCATTGCCATAAGGCATTATCGTCAGAACCCTAAAGGGCTAGGAAGACCATCGTGAGAAAAACATCATTTGCAGCTACCTAAGAAGTTAAGTTTAAAACTAGTTTTTATATTTTTCCGGACAATTCAAGTTACCTCTCTTGGGGTTTTGAAGCCCAGCCCCACACTTTTGTGGTAGCGGGGGAGCTTCTCCTTGACTTCCTTGGCACCCTCAGCGACCAGAACACGCTTCTTGTTCTGGAAGATAGTGGGCTGTTTCTGGTAAGCCCTCTCGGTCTGTGGAACAAGGAGAACGACAAGTTAAAACTGGGATAAGCAGGAACAGGGAAGCATTGACACAATACATTCAGACGCGACCACCCGGCCTTGCCAAGTAGCCGACACAAGTTCAAGATTCCTCCTAAGGGATAAAAGTCCCTTAACATTTAATACATATTATTAACGTAATGAGTAAAAACGGTTCCATATGGCCGTTTGCACTATATACAAAAGCAATCCGTCGTTCATAAAGAATGTTAAGTTGTAGCAGGCTAAGCTAACCGAGTAGCATCGCGGCTAGTCCAACGTTGCACGAGGGTATGAAGAACAGCAACAACAAATGGCATTTCTTAAAGTCTAATTGTGGTTTAAAACGGCTCAAAACGTGTTTAAATGACTTGTGAACGCACATACTTAATGTAAACCGGTAAATGTGTTTAGTAAAACGTAAAAATATCGTTTTAAAGTCACCACGCCGTTTTCCTGAACGTACTTGTGCATCCGCCATCTTTGCCTGCCGAGTCGTAAAGAGGCCTAAAGATGCGCGCGACGGTCTAAAGACCGCGACACACAGGAAGTGACGTTCGAAAAGGCGAGGCTAACATTTTTTTCAGTATTGATCATACTTTAAAAATCACACTACAATCCATAGATAATTATATATTGCGTATGAACATATTGAAGAACTTAATTTCAACAAATTAGACCTACCAATTAAATGATAATATTATGTGTAAAAACAAAAAAATACACTGTATGAGAGAGATTTAGGCTACGTTTAAACATACATGTTTCCTTTAAACGTTATTCATTTATTTTTGAAGTATTCTTTCATTTATCGAGATGTCTTCTCAGAATTTTTTTGATTTTTGCTATTTAAGAAACCGAGTCAAATAGATAGTTAAGTAATCAAAGAACACAAACACTTAACCTGTCTTCACTGTCAATAGTGACAACTTCATCTCCCTGGACTGGTAAGATTCCCAGCTCTGCATATCAGCACACAAAGACTGCACTGATTCACAATGTTAAAATATATTTATACCAAACTTTACACCTTAATAAAAAACACTTGTTCACAATAACATGTAATATTAATAATTATTTAGTTGGATCGATCTCCTGACATTTTTCCATTTAACCTGGGGATTAAGTGAATATTAAATAATATCTATTTCTTATTTTCTATATTTTCATCTCCAAAATTCCCTGACAACATAACAATGCGTCACATGATTGTACGTAAGCGCCAGCGGTTGAAGTAAACACACAACAAGATGGCATCGCACCGGGGAGGAGGCGATAAAGGTAGCAGCTGGAAACAGCGATATTTTGTATAGAAACCTAATCTGACAGCGTCACCAACACCTTGGTAGACAAAGATAATCTCACATTTGAACAACTATCTATTCATTTGTTCTTGTAGTTTGTTTGCTTGTTATCAGAAACATTAGCTGAACTGAGGTTAGCAAGTCAGCTAACCTAAACGTTAGCAGTGCGTTAGCTTATGCTACCTACTATGCGTTGTATAGATACCGTTAGCTTGGTTAGCTGATAGCTGTTCTAGAGTGAGTTAGCAAATATGTTTAAACAAAACCGAAACAAAGCTTTCAGAAGACACCGACAAAGTCCAAGTTTATTGGTTTCGTTGGTTCGTAGACTTAGTACACCTCCAGTATTTCTTAGCCATAACATTGACTAACTTATTGACTTAACGTTAGCCTAATCAACTTAGCTAACAACTAAAAAACTGTGGACATAGGGTATTGCTGGCTTTGTATACCGAACTCACAAGCTTAATAAAAGGCACAGGTGTATACATTACTAACAAATGATTAACACAAAATATATTTTCAAGTTTTGCTAATCTAAATAAACTCACAGTAAAGGGTGGCATCAGATTCAGGTTAAAGTGATTACAAAAGTACTGTTTTACTAGCAAATGTTCTTCAATTTCTAGAATTTCTTTATAATATATGAGAAAACTGGTTGTAAAACACTATCAGCATTTGGATGATTTAACATTGACCTTTGTCTTTTCAGGCAATACTGCAGACCAGATAGTGGAAGTAGGAACTGTTTTGTTACAAGAGTAAGTATATACTTTACAGTTGGGCGTCTCATTATTAAACAAGGCAAATTATAATTTCATACTTTATTTCTATCCGCTCTGTCTCTCCCTGTGTAGTTTCATCTACGAGCGAGTTCAGCGGCATGGAAATGGAAACACTGCAGTGACCAGGGCACAGCTGGGTGGAGGAGGAGTGCTCGACCCTAAATACAAGAAGCTTGGCCAGTGCCTGCAGCAGATTGGAGATGAGCTGGATGGAAATGTAGAGCTTCAAAGGTGAGCTATCTTGTTGTGCTATTTGGAACTGATGAACAGAAATCATCAGAAAAGCGTTTGTTAACTAAAATGAATAATGATCTGTCTGATTTAGAGTAAACACCATCAAAAGTACTTTGTCACTAACACATGCACAGAGGTCTGTCTGTGCCCAGTTGAGATGTTGTATCTTGCCTCTTGCTTCCACTACATTTCAGAGGAAAAATAGAAAGTGGCAGAGGTCCAAAAATAAAATACACTCTTTGCTATATTGTCCATTACACAATATTAGCTTTCCCTAAAAAAAGTCTGCAGAGTCTCTTGATTAGTTTTCTGTCTAATGCACTTGACTTCAGCACTTATTTGCTCAGTGTGGATTAAATGCATACAAACAGCGTATCAGGGTGCTTTATGTTTGATGTGTTAAAGGCACAGTATGTGTCTTAAAAGTATCTCTGATGTCTTAAAACTGTAATGTTTAAGGCAGGGGTGTCAAACTCAATTTCATCGTGGGCCACATTAGCACTATGGTTGCACTCAAAGGGCCGGTTGTAACTTTAAGACTATATCAAAATATACATATATAATATATATAAAATAATGTTTTATTTTACATTATTGCCTCTGCACTGGATTATTATCGGATAGGGTAATAACTTCATAATTAACTATGTCTGAAAGCAGAAGTCTTGGGCAAATAATTGCAAGTCTCTTCAGTGTGCATGTCACCAAACTAGATGCATTGTGGGACATGTAGTTTATGGACAATGTGCTCCTGTAAAGCGGCATGTAACCGTATAATAAACATATTTTATTCTTTCATAGCTCTAGCGGGGCCACATAAAATGAAGTCGAGGGCCGGATTTGGCCTTGAGTTTGGAGATGGACTGTGTACTGTTTGCTTTGACTTTGACGGAGTTTATTACATTTTTTCTTTCACTCTCAATTTATTATTTCCAGAGCGGGCTGGGCACCTTTTGGTGTGGCCGTGATGCTCAGAAATATAAACAAGTTGTTTATCAGTAATAATTATATAATAAGCCTGTTCATAATTGCTAAATGTTGTTCTCCACAGGATGATGGATGACTCCCAGCTCAATCCCTCAAAAGATTTGTTTATGAAAGTTGCCATTGAGATCTTTGCAGATGGAAAATTCAACTGGGGCAGGGTGGTTGCACTGTTCTACTTTGCCTGTCGACTCGTCATCAAAGTGAGTTAAGCAGCTCTTTTGTACCTCACTTCATAAAAACAAAAGTTAGACATCTATTTGATAGATTAACAACAACTTTCATATTAAAGTATTTAACATTCCCACCGTTCTCAGGCTCTGGTGACCAAACTTCCTGACATCATCAGAACAATAATCAGCTGGACTATGGACTACCTTCAGGAAAATGTGATCAACTGGATCAGGGAGCAAGGTGGCTGGGTAAGAAGCTAGCTAACAAATGCCACCCAAAAAAATAAACATGCATCATTTTGTTGTCTTTTTGTAATTGATCTCCTGATTGTTTGAACGTGTGATAATATTTGTGTCTAATTTTCATGATTTTTAGGAGGGTATTCGGTCCCACTTTGGCACACCCACATGGCAGACATTGGGAGTGTTCTTGGCCGGTGTTCTCACCACTGTTCTAGTGATTCGCAAATTGTGAGGGATATGTGAAGAGAAGAATGGAAAGAATCGCCCGAGAAGAATGGGGACGGGAACACGAAAGAACGTCTGAAAGCATACAGAAAGCAGTGAACAAGTCGAACAGGACGAGCTTGTATTTAGACACGAAGGGCATCTCTTTGTTTCTGCCCCCTTTCATTTCCAAGGATTTGGAGTAAGACAGTAAGCACTTTCTCACCCGTTATCCTAATGCCATTGAGGAAGTGAGCGGAGCATGATGCACAAAATGGGGAGGTGAAAATGTTGTCAGGACTTAAACAGGGAATGCATTTTATGTAATTTATTTTTTATTCGGTACAGGCAAGAAATGTCACTGCTTCTGTTTTTTTCTGCCCTTAAAGATATACGGACTGAACATGTTATTTTACGTTTTGCTAAATTTCCTTCGGTTTTATTTTTTGTTCCACTCGGATTGTTTATCTTCCTTTTCCCCCTCGCCATCCACCTCATCATGGTCTCTGTATGCTAGAGAATCAGTCTTCATATGTATTTGTGAGTGTTAACCGGTGCTAATCTGCTATGATCGGCTGGAAAGTTTTATATTCACATTGGGTAAAAAGATGTTTTTGCAAACAATTATTAGATAATATAAAGAAAAATTACACATCCAATAATATTTGGGCTACAATTACCATATGATTGTTCCCCTTTAAGGCACAGCTCAACATTTAAGTGGTTTTCAAAAGTGCCACAAGAGAGAGTCGTGTACAAAGTCATGTTTGCATTAACCATGACTAATCACATGATCTCGGCAAAACTCCTATCTTCTGTAACATTCAATCATATGATATGCTCCATTTGGGTCTTTCAACCAGCATTGTGACCTAATGTGCCACATCTCGTGAACATTTCCTGAGGCCTATTAAATATGTTGCACTGCAGACACAGAAAGTGCTGGATGCTCACAGATGCTTACCTCATGTCACACATATTCAAAAGTACTGTACGTTTACTTGAGATATTCAGACCACAATCTTATCTACAGAGCAAAACATTTTTTATACATACTTCTTGTTTGTCAGTGCCTTGGTGTTTGGCTTTTCTTCTTTTTTACTATGAAATCACTTTGATGAATTTTTCACGTCTTTCTATTACATTTGTAAAGCTGAAATTAGTTTCCAGTCCTCCCTGAAAATCTTTTTGCTTGTCTGTTGTAATATGGAAAATAAATCTTTTAACTCTTGACTGTGTCTCTGGATATGTATAAATAGTGTAGGGTAAAGGATTATAAATATGAAAAATATACACCAGCTACTCTTGGAGGGAGCGAACCAACATGTTAGCATTTAGCTCAAAACGCTGGTGTGCCTGAATGCAGAAAGGCATGATGGCATGTATACATATTTAGTTTTGTGATTAGCAAATGAAATGACAATCTGGCAGATAGCACATTTTATATTTAAGGTTGAGTACTTTGAGGCTGAAGTCCACAATATCCATACTTTTTTTGGGCATAAATGTAATGTTATTGGTTTATAACATTTTGATATAGCATGTGCACAAGTGTAAAACCTTTGAGCTGGAGGATCCCACCAGAGCAAAGGTCAGGGGTTCTCCAAAACCACAGAGTTTCAACCTCAACCGCTCTTAAATATCACCTGCAAAGGTCATGGAAGTCCAGGCATTGCAGTACTATCATTATTAACTTCAAATGAAAAGACAACTCTTAAATTGTGGTTCATGGTCGGGGATTTTTTTTATCTCACAGTGGCACTAGAGAAAGGTCAGATGGTCATCGAATCCTTGCAAGTCCTTCTCTGGGGACTGATTTCCTGTCAAATCTAATCTGACCAAAAGTTGTCTTACTCTGAAGTCCAGCTAATTGAAAAAAGTGTTAAACAGTATAACATAGAACTGGAAATGCAAATGATAACTCAATGTTATTGGTAGACAAACTAAATCCCAGATAGCGTAATTGAATAGCATTAGATAGCATTTTGATCACCCTGTCTGTATCACACAAACAGAAGATTGACAATACAGTTGACTGACTAAATGCAGCAGAAATGGCCATAGTCAGTGTGGTATTGTGAACTAGTCAATACAAATTGCATTACGGACTGAATAACTTCAATAATGTATCACACTCTGCATAGTTTCATATGCTGTTTAATGACTCATGTTAGCATAAACAAAGAAAGGGTGTAAACATCACAGTGGTTAAAAAAGCTCAGCATTGACTCATAAGGCTTTTAATGATTACTTTGAAGATAAAAAGAGCACCAGGCCCCCATTTTGGCATTAAAAACACGAGACACAAGTGCTGAAGAGGCAGTTCTGGAAGATGTATTTAACCCCTCAGATAGCATGGTCCTCGCATATTGTTGCATATGGTCAAACATTTAAAAAGCTAAACAGAAGGCCATGGACGTGTAAGACGGTTTAGATGACACTGAGGTGGACGGGTGGAGAGAGCAGTGGGCTCTATCTCGTCTCCAGCACTCCGTCTCTGATCCTCCACCTCCAGGCAGAGCTGAAGTCCGGAGCAGGAACACAGCTGAGCTCCAGACCGGACTCCTGCACCTCCTCATCGTGAGCAACCTGCTGGCCCTGCTGGGTTTCCAGGGTGAAAACCCTCTCGGAGATCTAAAAACCGAGCACACATAAGCATTTAAAGGTCTAATCAAACTCTAAATCATGAAAAGCTGTCGTGACATGAGTGTTCTCGGTGGCCGGCCCTCACCTGATCACTGATTCCCGTGGCGATGTGGCCCACCTTCACACGGCGCGTCTCTCTGATGCGGATGCTTCTCCCGCTGAATTCTCTGATGCAGACATCCACCCCTGAGCCAATCACAGAGCAGATAGATATATGTGTTACAGTTTGGTACAACATTAAACAGATTTAGAAGAAGAGAGATTGTAATGTTGTTTCTCACCTTCAAAACAGCAGGGTGGCGGTAGCTGTGTGTGACCCAGCAAATCCAAACTGGAAACCTGCACGTCTGGCTGACTGCTGTAAGAGAACACACCGGAGCTGAGGTCGTCTGCTGGGCTCAGAGACCACCGGCCAGAGTCCTAGGATAAAGACAAACAATGTGAGAGTTAAAATATTATAGCCAAAATGAGTGCCCACCATCCATGGATGAATCTCTTTGTTTAAATTGTCCTCAGTTTGGAATATCTTTTGATTATTTATGTCAAAGTGTTTGATATAGAACATTATTTTTCTGGGATTACATTTCTGGATGTCTGAGATAAATAACAAGTTAAAAGGGTATCAGTTATCAATCTAAACTGCCACCTAATGATTGCTTTGTGGATTTAAAGGCAAAATGAGAAACATAACGGTTTTGCCCCTTCTTTCCAGCTCAACGAGTCACGATGCAAGAGAGCAAAACCGAAGTTAACCTCAGATTCAGTCTTGTTTTGGAACTGAATTTGTCAGCTTTGCTTATGCTTCACCATATTTGCATCTTATTTGCATATATTCGCCATTTCATCGTCATTTCGTAGTTTCCTCTTGGATGCATGCTTATAATGGCACTTGGTCATTACTTGATTATAAAGCTTGACAACCGAGAACGCGCCAACACACATCTTGTGGGTTATAAAAGATGAAAAAGAGGAATTGTTTTTTTATGAGTCTTTACATTTAATTTTTTTTGGGAAATCCTACTCACTGGGCCATTCAAATTGGGATGAATAACAGCAATTTATTGTTTCTCTTAACACATTCCACTACTTTGGATCAATGTGTGCTTTTATTGGGGAATAAGAACATTGAATGTGATAGTTGGCTACCTTTTTGTCCCATGGTTCCCAGGTGGAGTACAGGTCGCTGCTGAGACAAGACAACAGCTGCTCCTGCATCTCAACCGAGTGGAGCTGGGACAGACTGCTCAGGTAAAAGTCTGCAAAACAGGAAGGATCACAATGAGTGGGGTTCAGAAACATTTAACACAATATAATGAAGCAGAACACTGAGAGAAACCTCACCTCGCTCCAGTTTACGGAGCTCAAGTTCAGGCACAGTGGAGATCTTGTTGCCCCTCTTGTATTTTGGCTCACAGATCAGTGTTTGTGGACAGTAAATAGAGTCTTGATTCCACTCTTCATCATCATCATCACCACTCCGGTCCTTTGTCCTCCTCCCTGTTGTGATCAGTTTCTCAACAGACTCTTGATCCTCATCCTCGTAGTTTACGCTGCTGTTGATCAGCTGCAGGGAGTCAGGAGGTTTGTCAGAGACACACAGGGGCTCTGTGTAGGGGCCCCTCACTGGGCTGGTGAGTCCTCCAACTGCAACCACACAAACACAATACATCACACACTGCAGTTGACGATGCATTCAAGGGCGTAAATCCTTTGAAAACTCCTGCTAATATTAGTTGTTTTGATACTGTTTGTAGAATTTGTTTCTAGTGGTGTCTCCAAACCAGTCCAAAAGTAAAAAAAGATTGAAATATCACAGATGAATAATTGTTCTTCTCTTGTTTTTATCTTATTAACTACAATTCATATTTGTTGGCGTTTCAAAACAAACTTTTAACTGCTTATATTTTTTTTACTCTTCCTTGTTTTTTAGGGTGATGACATCATATGACGACAGACATTCAGAGAATTCAACAAAAGCTTTTAATTAAAACATGACATTAGATAAAGCTCTATTATATATCAATTTACAGTTAATATTGTCCTAAAAAGATACTGGATTTGAGAACCTATCAGAGAGCATTTTGCAAAAAATGCAATACAACAGTAAATATGGGAATGTTTTCAGGTCTGTAAAAAGGAAAGGGGGGCTACATAATGTTAAAATGTTTGGCCATACTACTGTTATTATGGGAATGTATAATATCCAACTTTTTGTTATTTACTCCATACAGTATGTGGTGTGTGTTTGGATGCCTCGCTTGGTTACCTTCTGTCAGAGCTCTGGCAGTTTTCTCTTTGAGCTCAGATGCTGATGCTCTCTTGGCTGGATCCTTCTGTAGCCCCGCCTTGATAACTTCAGCTGTGAGCGGGCTACAGTCGGGGGGTATCTCTCTCACGGGCGGGGGCTCGTTAGCGATCTGTAACCATCACAAAACAGCGGTTACAAAATCTGACGTGAAAACTTTGAAGAGCTGACTGAACATCGACACTGAAACCATGTCCGTGTGTTGCTGTGAAGAATACCTTCAGGTAAAGTCTACAGGTGTAGTATCTGCTCCAAGGCTGGCACCCATTGAGCATGTGCAGTAACATACAGCAGCTGCTCCACACATCTGCTTTGGCTCCGCGGGGTTCACCTTTCACAATCTCAGGGGCCATGTGGGTCTCTGTGCCCTTCAGATCTGCATTAGGAAACGATGATTTAAGACGTGTTAGTTGAGAAATGACCCATTTTCTTGGATATTGAATTCGCTAAAGTAACACTGTATGTACCTTTGGACCCGCTGAGGCTCTGTCCCTGATTGTCCAGTCTCTCTGCGTGTCCAAAATCACACAGGAAGGTGTCTCTACCGTCCTCCGACAGCAACACATTGTCAGCTGTGGAAAACAATGACCCACTGCATTAGCGCTGATTTCCATTACTTCTTCAGTTCAGTTTGCGGATGACATAATGAGAAACAGGACAGCTGCACTTTCACAGAACAGTCTAAAAGGCAACAGAGCAAAAATAAGAGGGGGCTATGACGTCACTTTGGGACAACTGCTGTACAACACTTTAATTAGGGAGGAATGAGGAGTCTAGAAACAAAAGGGTTCATTACGGTCACCAGGTGGCGCCTGAGCTGCAACCGCACAATCCTCTTCCTGTTTGTTTTTGCACTTCCTCTAACTTCTAACTTCGGTTTTTTTCATTCCTTCTTTTTTACAATTCGCTCTACTTTTTGCATCTTCTTCCTTGTTTCTGTATTTGTAAGTAGTTCTGTCTCTCTCTGCTCTCGCTAACTTCTTCCTGCTTTTCGTCCCATCCCCCCCTCTCTGTTTCGTTCTCCCTTTCTTTCTTGCTCTCCTGCCTCTGTGCACATGCGCCGCCTCTAAAGAGCAGCGGTGAGTCATACTGTGGGAAATTCCCAGCCCGCCGGCTTCTCAGCGGCGGTCTGGTTCAACAACACAGGTGCTGGGGATCAGATCTACTGTACGGGTGACACTTGTGTTCCACGCAACAACTACACAAAGACACAAAATTCCTCAAACTTTTCGAACTAATTAGAAGTCGGAGTTCTTCTCACTGTATGGTTTTGTTTTCCAGT